GGATAGAAGGTTCTCCCTCCTCTTATGGGGGGATCATCGAATCCCCCCAACCCCTCAGGAGGAGGAAACAAATTCCCTCCTCCTCTGCAGGAGAAGAAGGTTTCCACCTTCCCCTCCTCTTCCCCTAACATACTTGGCCCTCAGTGGCCTCCGAGTGCATTAGGGGGGAATCCTTGTCCTGTGTATCCAATGTATCTTCTAAAATAAATATTTTAATTCTATCAATGTTCTTGCAATACCTTAAAAATGTCGATGAACACCAGTCGTTCATCCGAAAACAACCTCGCATTGTACAGAGAACCGTCAGACCACACAAGTTGATTGCAATGGCAATGGCACTGCAAACATAAAGTTGTTCAGGATTAGAACACAGAAGACGAACAGTTCAATATGAATGACAATCTACAGTGTTCTATACTAACACCTGATTAGAAAAAATTTTCCAATGGATAGACAAGCAAGAATGGCAACAGAGCATGATGTGTTAGCACGGTTTGATATCCCATGGAATTGCTTGGCGAAACATCATTAACATGACAATGGCTTTAACGCTATCAAACTTCAAGGGAGCAACTGTTGAACAGGAACGACAATGAATGTTGGGAAACGTTTGGGACTGATCGGTCAAGGTGCGAGCAGTTAATTTTATATTCCAAGGAAATAAACTATGAAGACTGGAACTTACAGAGGCTTGCACGTGTACAGAGAACCGGAAGATGTCAAGAATTGATTGCAATGGCTACGTATCTACTACGAGATAAGATATGAGGAAAAAAGACGATCAGTTCAATATGGATGACAATCTACGGTGTTCTATACTAACATTAATTCAAGCAAATTCTTCCAATGGCTAGACAAACAATGATATATAACAAGGTTCATCAATATCTGATAGCAAGAGAGCTCGAAAATGCTTGGTAAGCCTGGTCTGATGTCTCCCATACAATTGCTTTGCAGAACATTAGTAATATAACAATGGCTTCAACACTATCAAACATTCAAGAGATCAACTGCTAAACATGAGCGAACAATGAATGTTGGGAACCGTTTGGCGTTCGTTGGTAGATCGCGTGCGCGAGCAGTTTCTTTTCAATTATCAGGTCGAGAAAACAAACTATAAAGACCGGATGTTCAGAGGCTTGAACACCGTAAACACCTATCACCTTCACTTCTTTTTGAAAATTTACAGAGACGATAGAAAGAGAGAACAGCTATCAGACATATAAGCAGCTACAACAAGTACGGTTAGCATGTGAACATTCACAAACTATTCTTATAATCAGGGGTGAAACCAAGAAGATCGTCAGATAATTCATTTCAGAAGAATAGCGAAGAAGGTGAGCAACAAAAAAAAAACTAAACTAAAGTAATAAAAAGAAAGAGAGAACTGAGAAGATCCAATCAATAAACATTAGAGAATGTCTGAGGAATGAGAAAATCAATAGATAACAAGTAGATCAAACTTCAACTACCCAAATAGCCACTATAAATGGTTCAGGTTGGAGTTTCATGTAAGTGTGATACCCGCATGATGTACCCTAATCGTCTGATCTTTAATCTTCCATTCAAATTGGAAAATTTTCATCCAAAGATGCTAAATGGAATAAGGAAACTACTGATATGGCTATCCTTTGCTGTATTGAGAATCAATTATAAAAAATAAAATTTATTATGAAAATAGAACACAAAGATAATGAAATACATGCTTGATTATACCAGTTGGAAAAAATATGAAAAGGATACTTTTCTCCTTTTAACTTTGAAAGGGAATGTGTGGGAGGTTTGATTGAGCAGATAAGAAGTG